TTTTCGGAGAATAATTAAAGGTCATGGTAGCATTAAAGAGTGGAATTTCATCCCATGCGAATTTTGTCTCGTTCTTATTAAATGTTTGCCCTGTATAAAATGTCGTATTTAAAAGTATTGTTTCGCATTCACGAGATTTTATCGTGAATTCTGCTTTGCGGGAATCTCAGATTGGATCGCGGGCCAATACTTTTCAATGCCACGGAGAATAGAACGTGAAAATCTTGTATGCCTCTGAATCCGAAAACAATTAGGAGAAGAAGTGAATACTTTTCAATATAAAAGTTCGCATTTGAAAATTATCGTTTGCGATTGAATACAAGGCATATTTGAAATGAATTGAATCCTTTTTAATGCGAAGCATTCACCACTGCCATCTCGCATTTAGCGCGGTGAAATTTAATCAGAACTAATATTTTTTAGTCCCTTTCTTCGGATCAGAAAGCAGAATTCAGACGTATTCAAAATGTCAGTACTTTTTAAAATGTTTCAGTTCGACATTTTTTTTTAAGGTAGATCATCCGCTGCGGACAATAACTCTTCTACTTTTCATCTAATATTCAATGATGATAAATAACATTTAATTGCATTCGTTTGGCTTCTTTTACTTCGAAAATAAAAAAATATACACTGTCAGTGCCACGAGCGAATGTCCGGAGCGGACGGGATGCTGAATTGAGAAGCAGGACGGAGGGCAAGGATACATCATGCGTCTCCAGACATGATAAATCGTTTATTATAGAGGAGACTTTGATACGGCAACATGTATTCAAAGATTTAACATTTAATATATACTTTTATTTGTTCTACTCCTCCCTTCTCGCCCCCGCTCTTTATAGACTACCGTGCATAGTCTGGTATAGAGATGGCAACTGTGGTTGCAGCACGGACATAAACCGCCTGAAAATGGATGTAGCACGGACTTCCACCATATGCAGATTTTATCACCGAGACCTGAAAGTGGATGTACCATGGTAGTTCCCCTCTCAAAATGGATGCAGATGGCGTACCCTTACCCAGTGCGGAAACTCGGTGTCACAGAAAATGTTGTATTGGTCGCTCTCAGGTTTCTCTCTGGTAATATAAAGACTGATAACTCTAGATAAATTTTTGTAGCAACAGAGAGGGCTCCCAAGAGGTCCGGAGGTATTTGAAGAGCGGTGATAATACCAATTGTTTTAGCTACGCTGAAGATAACATGAACATTTATACTATATTATATTTCGATTACCATGGCGATACAAATTACCGACGATATAAAAATATCGTGTAAATACATCTTTAGCACTGTAAGTCTGTTTCTTGAACTTTTCACACTTAACTCCTTCGTTCTTACTTCTCCCGTTTGAATATATAATATAATATGCGTTTGTCTCATTTTAAATATAAAATTGATAGTTTAAATATCATTCAGAAGTTGCGTTTATAAACATTCTGCTTACACAGCGAAAAGATCATTGAAATCTGCAAATAAGGATCAGCGTTACATCATTGCTACCAGTATATATCGAAAAAGCATATAGTAGTATATATTACATGATAATATTCCTTTATCTTGTCATATTTTGAACTCGTAATTATATATAAACAGTATATAGTACACAATACAGTATATAGTTTATAAAAGGTACCGGGACAGTGAAATGTCACAAAAACTAAGCATTTTAGAAGAAAATGTTTCAGATAAAAATTGTAGCGTTTCAAAAGATCTATTTACTGACCTTATGAGTTTGACCTTGGGTGGCGTCGCCAAGATCAAGGACAAGGTCACCTTGATTTTTTTAAACAGGAACTCCAATTTTTTATTGCACATTCTTATAGCCTTTCTTCAGACATTTTCAAAGCACTATAATTTTTTCCAATTTGAATAAGCCGTTTCGAAATTATTGAATTTTTTTTTATAAGATCTAGCTAACCAAGGCAAGATCAAAGAAGTATCCAGCTAGACGTTGTCCTAAACGTCGTCCTAAACGTCCCAGGAATTGTCCTAGACGTCCCAGACGTCAACCTAGACGTTCCACACGTCGTCCAAAACGTCCCAAACGTCGTCCTAAGCATCACAGGGTCATTCTACACGTCCGAGACGTCATACTATACGTCCTAGACATCGTATTAGACGCCTAGACGTCGTCCAAGACATCTCAAACGTCATCCTAGACGTTTCAGACGTCGCCCTAGACGCCCCAGATGTCCTAGACGTCCCAGACGTCATCCTAGACGTTCCAAGAGTCATCCAAGATATTCCAGACATCGTTCTAGACGTCCCAGGAGTCGTCCTAGACGTCTCAAGAGTCTTCATACTTGTCCGAGGAGTCGTGGAAAATGTCCTAAACGACCCAGGAGTCATGAAAGATGTCCCAGACGTCATCCTAGATGTCCCAGGAGCCATTCAAAACGTACCAAGAGTCGTGCAAGATGTCCCAGATTTCATCCTAGACGTTTCAGGAGTCGTGCAGGACGTATCAGACGACGTCTTATACGTTCCAAGTGTCTTCCAAGGCGTCCCAGACATCGTGCTGAATATCCCAGGAGTCATACAAATGTCCCATGTCATCCTAAACGTCCCAGATGTCGTCCTAGACGTTCCAGACGTCGTCCTAGACGCCCCAGTCGTCTTAGACGTTCCAGACGTCGTATAGTCGTGCCAGGAGTCATCCAAGACGTCCCAAATGTCGTTCTAAACGTCACAAACATCGTACTAAACGTCCCAGGAGTCGTCCAAGACGTCCTAGACGTCGTGGTAAATGACCCAGGTGTCGTGCAAATGTCCCAGATGTCGTCCTAAACTTTCCAGGTGTCGTGCTAGACGTCGCAGACGTCTCAGACGTCATGCTAGACGTTCCAGACGTCATCCTAGACGTTCCGGGCGTTTTACTAAACGTCCCAGGGGTCGTGCAAGATGTTCCAGGAGTCGTCGAAGACGTTCCAAAAGTCGTGCAAGATGTCCCAGATGTCGTCCTAGATGTCTCAGGAGACGTGCAGGTGTCCCAGATGTCGTCCTAAACGTCCCAAGTGTCATTCTAGATATTTCAGACGTCGGCCTCGCGCTACCACCTCTCACACACTAGTTAGCTTCGCTACCAGCCGCGGGGTCGCGTCACCGTCGCTCGGCTACAGCACCTCGCGCCAGCGACGCGGCGGCACTAGCTTAGCTATTGAAGCTGCGTTCCGAAATTCACTGCCAGTACTGAAAATACATAGTTTGTGTCACGTATATTATAGATTTTCAGTGCTATCAGTGAATATCGGAACACATCCTTAGCCGCGTCACTCGGCTCACTATCTTCTCAATCGGCTGCTTCTTATCATTGCCGTCGTCGGCCAGCTGTAGAAAAAAAAAGTAGCTTCGCTCATACCCGCTATGACGCAAGAGCGACAAGATAAAACACGAGTAGCGGCGGATTGTCCTTCTGTTTCTTCTTCTTCTTCTATTTGCACGCTGGCAACAGTCGTTAGATCATATGGCTCGTGCTTGGGCACGAGAGGCTTTGATGCCTTTTGAATACCATCTTGGCCCGTGTTCTTTCGTTTGATTTCTATAATTAATAACTTGATAGTTATTGCGAATATCGCAAAATGGTATGGAATTTGATATTGGCCTTAATCCGCTGTATGTTTCCATGAATTTCCCGGTGATGATTATCGGGAGCAGTTAGACCTCGTTTCCGGCAGTGAACATAGAATGAAAACTGTGTTCGAAAACACAGTTGATCTGTTCTTTTTAGCTGCATTACTGAACTGGTGCAATAAGTTAAAGTGAGAAAAAATATAGTTGTCTCATTCTAACTTATTGCACTAGTTCCGCAGTGACCGCAGTGCAGCTGAAAAGAACAGATCAAGTATTTCATTAGTCTGTTCTTTTTAGCTGCACTACTGAACTGGTGCAACAAGTTAGGATGAGACAACTATATTTTTTCTCACTCTAAAGCTAAGACTCCATGCATGCGGTGAGCTCCGGCAAACGGCTGCGGTGACCAATCAGGAGACAGACACATGCCGGAGCTTGCCGCAACCGGACTTGCGCCTCCCTCCTGATTGGTCATCGCAGCATTTGCCGCAGCTCACCGCATGCATGGAGTCTTAGCTTTACTCATGCACCGGTTCAGCGGTGCAGCTAAAAAGAACAGACTCCTTGTCTAACTGTAGCGATCATGAGACTCGATATATTATCCAGACTGAAAACATTTGCCTTTGCAAACATTTTCTACATACCTAAAATTTATTTGATCAAAGAATATTTTTAATAAATAATAATTTTCGGAATCGGAATAAAATTGTATGTATATAGCAAAACCTGAAATTGTGTATACATAGCAATGTACAAATCTAATTTTGTGGATGTATATATATATTTATTAAAATAATATACAATGTATAAAAAGGCAGAAAAGATAAATTTACGTATTAAGTAATAAGTAATATGAAATTATAATATTATTATTTGCAGAAGTAGGATTATTCACAATGTTGAGACTGGAAATTATGTTGAATTTTCAATTCCCAATAAATGATTAAATCTAAAATAAATAACACTAGTCAATATTTATTATCCTAATTTATATTTAAAACTATTTTAATATTATCTTAATTCTATGCTGAAATAGTATGTTAAATTATTAATTAATAATACTTAACCTTATTGTGTTTAACATTATCTTACAATTATTTAAGATAATGTTATGTATATAAATCCAAATTATAAATCTGAGTCCATTGGCTCATTTGATATTCGTCACACGTACTATACACATACATGTACAGGTCGAGACCGATGTGTTTAGCCACGGTAGTTGACGTTAAAAAGAGACAACACGGTCTCTAGCTTAACCATCTCTCTCTCTCTCTCTCTCTGACCATTCCGTATCATGGAGAGAGTAGGGCAGTGCTTCTTCCAATATGGTTATATTTCAATGCTGGCTATGCTCAAGATAATACAAACATTTATATCATACTATATTTCGATTACCATCGTGATATAAATTACCAACGATACAAAAGTATCATATAAAAACTTCAAAATTATGATTTTATTTTATTAAAAGCATACATATTTTACTTTAACAAAATTATTGATAAATATCTAAACAATCAATAGTACAGTACAATATACGTTTCTTAAGAAGTTGTATTTGCATTAGGTCCACGTCGGCGGCCAAAGGTTTGTACAACATTGACAAACCTACGGTTATATTGGATGCGCCGTTTGGCACGACCAGTTTTTTTCTTACTTTTCTCTTGCTTTTCAACCTGATAACATATATATTGATCTAAATAGTAAACACTAATATATTACAATTATATTATAAATGCAACTAACATATAAATCTATAAGATATTAGAAATATAACATGCAAATATTTCTTTGTTTTGTCATTGCACAGATATATAAATTATAAAACCAATTATGTAGTTCTAGTTGCATATATAACAATAAAATTAAAAGATACACTTGATTGAATGATTTTTACCTTTGGTGTTTGTGCCTTTACTTTGCCAGCTCTTGCCAGAGAACCATGGACTTTTCCTAAACAAAGCAAATGGATTGTTGTAAACACTTTAATTTTTTCTTTATATCTTACAAGTGACTTGATAGTAAAAAGATTTTACAAATCCAAATTGTGGCAATTATATACATTGGCAGTCATATACAGTTACACAAGTCTATTAAATTTTATTTTAATGGCATAATAGTTTATCTTACTGACATTAATAGTATATATTAGTTTACCTCCTAACAATGGTACGGTCAATTCAAGAGTATTTGATGGAAGTTCACTGATACAAGTTTCATTCAACAACAAAGCCCCATTGCAATACAAGTGAAATTCATCTTGCAAACCTTGAAGGCAAGCAATTCTTTCCTACAAAGATATAAATATCACAAATTACACATTTTTCTATTTATTTAACCTTTTCGCTACTAATGGTGACTATAGTCACCCAATGTTTAATGTTCGCGATATATTAATGGTGACTATAGTCACCCAACATCTGACGCTATCTATTATAGGATGTGTATCTGTTGAATGAAGAATTAATAATTTACATTATAATTACATCTAACGCCACTAGGCGTTAAAAGTTAGATTCTCCTCACTGTATAATTTAAGTATGTCCACGTTGGGGTTAGCCCGTATACCGTGGTAGCACATTCGCGAGCAAAGCCGCCGTAGCGAAAAAGTTAAACATAATATCATGTTATGTATATATCATAAAAATATCATTAAAATTATTTATGTAGGAAACTTTTCAGAAAACAAAAGTTTCATTACTTTCGTTCATGGATAAATTTACATATTATTCTCGCATTAGTGCTCGTTCTAACGTTATACATAAGCGCAAATGCTAAATTATCATTTTAATGCTTTACGCTTGAAAATTGTCGCTCAAGTGCAATATAACTATGGAATAAATGAATATCAAGATAATACCACAAACTACAAAAGATCACAATACCTTCAAGTGTTCTATTTTCTCGTCGCCCTGGCACTCGATAACAGTCGTTTCCTGCCCACGGATTGTTAGTTGCATCATGATAATCTATTTGATACTTTAATGTATCGAAAATTTACAAGAACTGTCAGCGTGCAATATTTCAGAAAATTTGGCTCGACACAACGCGTGTGCGCTTCCTCGTGTTGCTTTGAGTTTCAGCTTTCAGGTAGAGAATACGTGAGTACTTGGACTTTCTTCTCCAACGGAAATCCCGTGCGCATGTGCATATATGATTGATATATAATATATATATATGATCCGACAGCTGTGCTAGTGGCCTCTGCAGGCAGGATGCAGAACATTCATGAGAATTCTCACTGCTGCGACACCCGACTTGCGACGATTCGATATCCAATAGGAGAGTCGGTTTCTGCTGGCACTATTTTTGTCTCCAGCAAACGAACTCTGCTATTGGACGTCGGCCATTGCATATCGCACCCTAAAGGTGATGTAAAACCTCCATTATTGTGCAGCGAAATATAAGAAGGTAACCAATCAACCTTTTGCTTTTGCTTTAAGATTGGAAATCATCACCGTGGCGCTTCTTGCAATGCGCCACGTCTATACGCAGGAACCAGCGAGTTCAATATCCTTTCCAGTTTAGCCGGCCGATGGGATCACAAGTTTGAGACTACTCCTAAAGTCACAAATTGTTTGGTCAATATGGCTGATGGCACTATCTTGTTTCGTGGTACATAATTCAGGCTTGCGGAGATCTCGTTAAGTAATTTCCTTTTTAACATACAATTTGTTGCGCGCTTGTGTTATATTTTTTTCGGTAAAACTATAACACACGCGCAAGATAGCGCAGACGAATGAAATCGAAGAAGAAAATCGTTACGTTCAATACATATATCTCGCTCTTTTTCTAAAATGGACGATAATTACTTTGCTTCATATCGAACTTCATGATATCGAGGAAGTCAGACACGATCATACTTAATTTTAGAACATAATTGAAAACGCGAATAAATAATCAATCCTGATATATGTCAAACCGTTCGTGTCTTTTAATCTTCACGTTGAAACGAGCGATGAGTTTCTGGCGTAAAGCGGAAGTTCATTACACGCATTATTATCCTCTCTTTTATTTTTTCCTGTTTAGTTGAGTTTATTTCATTTGTCATGGTTGTAGGTTATAATTACGAGCGTACCATAGGGAGAATTGCATTATTCGCTAAATGCGTTACAGAGGAAACGTCATTTACGAGTGCAATTTTGCGAATGTTATCTCGCGGGCAATTATCGATTTTTGCCGCGAGTCTAGCATTCGAGTTACTAATTTATTTATTTTGGAAATGCACACACCGCGCGCGTAGAAACCGCGGTGTTATTTTCACTGTTACGTCTCGCTCGTTACGAGCGAACATCGAAGGTAAGTCGCGCGTCGGAGTGCGCTTCGAACATTTTTTCCCGGCGTGAAGCCCTCTTCGTTGCGCACGACTACAAGTTGTCGCGTGTAAAATCAAATCGCCCACAGACATGCAAACAGAGTTGTAGCGACATATGAACATGTATAAATGAACCGGTAGATGTAAGTCAAACGCGCAAAAGAGTGTACGAAGCAGCAAACTGCGACATCGCGAAAATACATACGGACAGCGCAGGCTCCTAATAGACGGCTCTCGGGGCCGGTTTTTCAATCGTGGTTTAAACTAAAGATTATCTAATCCTTCCTTGATCCATAAACCTAGTTTTACATCTTGTGTGTTTTTCAAGCATGCGCTTGAAAGACAGTTTAGGATAAACCTTTGTTATTCTTAAGTTGGCAACGAAAAGTCATCGCTGTGCGGGTCACTTTTAGACACGTGGAGATTTAATTCTAATATGAATGCAGTCTAGGGCACTCGCACAACGTGGAAATCTTGCAATATCGTAAAACTTTTCACAAAGTCTTCGAGTATCTTCTTCTGTAATTAGAAATTTTACACACGCAGATCTAAGTTGAGCAATTGCCCATGAGACTTTATTAATTATTTTACTTGTACTTTTATGAACATCAATAAAATCATCTACGTTTATCAAAAAAGATCCACTAGCGCTTAAAAAGATCTTAATGTTAATAATATCATTTCATACGCACTGAAAGAGCCTAATTTCTGGAAAAAATAAAAAAAAATACAATATAAATAAATTTTATATTATTTATATAATATTCATTATTAGTAAACATCATATTTTGCAACTGGTTAATTAGTTAATTAGTTAATTAGTTAAAATCAATATAATTGAAAAATATTCTATATATGTCATTTAATTTATGAGACATACATCAATACCTTTCAGTTGGTAATTGGATAGTCTTGAATTTTTTCTATTAACATATGAACTGTAGTTTTGGATAAGCGAAATCTTTGAAGAAATACTTTTTCATCTCAAATTTCAAAATGATTTGATCTTCGCCTTACAACATGATTTTTTCTCATGTTGATATGTTTTATATGTCCTAAAATATCCTCATTTTCACTACTCTTTTCACAATATTCTTCATCAAACATCGTAACAAATATTTGATCTTTTTTATAAATATTTAACAATATGATTTTAAATACAATAATGGAAACACTATATTGTAGCAACGTTTATTAATCCATTAAACGACGTTTAATAAACGGTCATCGATCGCAGTTTAGTTAAACTATTTAAACTACTTTAAACTACATTTTATTCTGATCTATCAGAATAAAACAGTGGGAAAACAGCCTAGTGCTTTTGAACAGAGTTTAAACTACGATCTGAGTTTAAAGCATTATTGAAAAACCGATCCTTGAGAGGAGTCTCAAAAGATAAATAAAGGACGCTTCTTAGACGTCTCCGAAATCTTTGCCCGAACTTTGCGCCGTGTGGAGACGCGACGGCAACGGCGATACACGCTCGCCTGTGCATTTCCTCCGGAATCTTCTCAATCAGCGGGCGCTATTAATGCCCACGGGGGGAGACGTGTGTTGCGTGTGTCATTGTACACAGAAAATATCTCTGATCGATACCGTGCACGTGTGCACGTGTGTACACACGCATACGCACGCACACATGTACGCGCGCATGCAAAAGTACGCGGAAGAGCTTGAGGAGCAATGCGAAAAGCGGGCACGGGTCGTGCGCTCGGTTACTTGCGCGCGTGGTGCAAATTTTATTATGGCATTAACGTGCTCCATAATTCTCTCAACGGCATAGCGACGGAGTGAAATCAGCGCATCATCGCGGTGCCTCGGGCTATCGCGCGCTATTCGATTACCGTCGCCCAATAATTTTATTGACAATAATTATTTCCCCAAATAGACATCGCGCGCGGCACTATCAGACACACACTGTGAGCGCGCGCGCCTGTGTGCGTGTGTGTGTGTGTGTGTGTGCGCGCGCGTGGAAACGTCGATAATGTTCTAATATTGGATTTGCGTAAATTCTACTATGTGGGTTACACGCTGGGCATCTCTCTCCTCGTTCCCTTCGCGCTCGAGAACGCGCGCGTTATCTCGCGACGTCTGCGAGGCCGAGTTCATCGTGCGATAACGCACGTCGCGTCGCGGATCGCGCGTTTCAGCGACGACCTCGCATCGCGAGTCGAATCGCCGCGAATTACGACGAATCCGTCGAAGGAGGCGGCCGTATTATGACGGGCTAGTTCAAACAGTACGTGTGCGTGGAGCCGACGAGGCGGCGTGCTCGGCAACTCGATCGTTATTCGACACTCGACAAGCGTAGCGCCCCGCACTCGATATCGAGCGCGAACATCCCCGCGGCCGCGTTCGCGAGTCGCAGCCTGGGCCCTGCGGAGTAGGGCCCGGGATGATGCAGGCCGCCGGGGAGGAGAAGTTGCGCACACGTGATGCCCCGCGAAAAATCCTGCCGGCGGCGCCCAAGGCCGGCTGAGAATCGGGGACGATGTCGAGCGCCCTTCTCGAGGACGCTGTATCGGCCAAGCGGCCGCGGGGCGGGGGGCGGGAGGGGTAGATGAGAAGAAGGTGGCGGAAGAGGGCAGCAGGTTAGAGCAGCAGTCGACGGTGGTAGCAGCGCGCTGGTAGGGGATGGTTGCGGTGGTGGTTTGCACGGACAGTAGGGGTGGCGCGCGGTCGTAAGCGCCATCTGGCTGTTCAGTGCCCGGCCACCCTCGGTACGATCCTGGTGTGATTCGCGTTCGCGATTCCGGATTATCGCGGTTAGTTTGCCGAGCCGAGGATTGGAACACAGTGCACCCCCGTGCCTTAACACAGTGACCAGTGCATGCCTTGAACGCGACGCAAAAAGGTAATTACCAGAGCGACGGCGATCTCAAGAGAGCGAGAGAGAGAGCGAGAGAGAGAGAGAGAGAGAGAGTGAGAGAGTGAGGGAGAGAGAGCGAGAGAGAGAGAGCGCGAGAGAGAGAGAGAGAGAGAAGGAGAGAGTGACTCGGGCAAGAGAGACGCGCGGATGTGACCAAAGAGTGGAGAATTAATTAAGGGGAACGCAGCGGCGGTGACGTTGGCGGCGGCGGCGGCGGAGGTGGCGGAAGAGGAGGTGGAGAGAAGGCGGAGCACGATCGAGGGTAACGACAAAGACGATGACGATGACCACGACGATTACTACGACGATGACGTCATCGACGGACAGACAGACGAACGACCATAAACCCACCATAAGGGTAATGCCGATGACGGTGCGGTGTTATGGACGTCGTGTTCCAGGATCGCTCTCCTCGGGTTCTTCGCGACGGTACCGAGACGAGACGCACGCGAGTTGGATCGATCCGCCCGCCTGCCGCCCCGATACCGCGATACGTCATGCCAGCCGCACTCGGCTGCGAGCAGAGAAAGAGGGTGCATGTCGTCGTCCTAAGTCCGAGGTGCTTTCCTTCCCCCGAAGACGCGCGTAACGCGCGTCTGCCTGTCTGCGTATCATGCTTCGGAACCGGCTCCGGAACGACGATATCGTAGGCGACGTCGCGACTCTGTCCTCGGCAGAGAGCAGAACGTTTCTCTCCTCGCCTCATCCACGTCGCTCGATCGCGTCCGTCGGGTCTGCCTCCCGCGCGCGATTGATCGTCGGGAATCAACCCGACGTGGTATTGCGGCGCGACGAGGGACACGGGACGCACGCGTCATCGCCGTCCGTCCGTCCGTCCGTCTTTACGTACGTACGGTCGACGGAAGAAAGCTCTCGCGAACACTTTCACGCGTCGACGAACTTCATAGAGCGCCCGCTGGTCGCGATAGGCAAACTCGTCCTCTGAAAATCGCTAAAAAAGTCAATCCTCCCCCATCGTACAAGGACGCGTTGCGGAACTCTGCGGGTGAGCGAGGTCTGCTCGTTCAGACTGAGTCTGCAGCTTTGGGAACGTCGTTTTTTTCTCCCTTCAATATGATAGCTCATATACCGGTTCGTTTTTCATGCGAAGGGAAACCAGAAACGCAAGCTGCTTCGAGACCGAAATTAGTAGGCCCAACGCGTCTGTTTTGACGTCGTGAGGCAGTCGAGAATCGCGTTCGGGACTCATCGCTCGGATACGATTGGTCGAGCGCCGATCGCCTCCCGGTGCATGCGCAACCGCGTCGTCGGATTCCGTATGTCGCAGCGGAGCGACTCGATTATGCTTCCATGAGTTTGAATCTCTCTCGCTCGAGAGAGGTTCGATCGGCCTTTCAACTCTCTCCCCCGCGTCCTGTCGCACAGTAGGTCGATTCGATAGAAAACCCGAACACAGACTGAAATTTTTTTGGCTATAAAGACTCTGAAAGTGACTCTAATTATCGTTCAAAGGTTTATTAAACTGAATATGAAGTAAAAAGTTGAAACAAATTTGTTATTGATACGAACATCAAATATGTATAGAACATAATATTTATAGAGAATTGAATGATATTTAAGGTATCTGTTTAAAGTAATGCCGCATGTAAACGTTAATATTGTTTGCAGTGACACTTTTCTACTGCTTTTGTTCTTAGTTAGAGCTACTAGATCAATTATTAAGATTCAAAATTTGTTCTTGTCAAATAAAAAGCTTGATGCATTTTAAAAGCATCTTTGAAGCACGAGAATGTAAAATTCTCGAAGATGTATAAAAGAAGTTTTGAAAGATCTTGAGAAATTTCTTTTTGGAGAATATACAGGAACCTTCCCTTAACGTAATTAAGGTTCATTTGTTTGCACCTTTTTGCTCCTTTTCGAAAAAACAAAATTTTGTATGAACGAAACTCAACTAGACTTCAATCAAAAATGACAAATGAATAGCGATAGTAGGATATATACCTCTAAACGTAATAAATCCACGCATTCTCTCTCAATTTGCAACTTTTTATTGTATTTTTATTGTTATTTTGTTTTTGTATATTTTCATTATTTTATTTTTTTGTAATTTTTATCATTTATTTATTTTTTATTTTTTGCTAGTTTTATTGTTTTTTATGTGTTTTTTATTATTTTTTGTTATTATGTTTTTATTATTATTATTTTGTTATATAATTATTATTAGTATATTATATATCTTGCATAAATCAAAATAATCCCCTAAGTCACTATCAATATCGAATTCTATGGGAATGTCACTATCTCTTGAAGATACTAACAAATCAGTGGCTTCAGGGAAGGAAGTTTTTTTTTAGATTTAAATGACTTTCGCCGCAACAATGTAACGATCTGAAGTCACAAGCAAGTACTGTAAGATATCTTCATTCGTCACTTCACGATTTGATTTTCTTGTATGCTGTTCACGAGTTTTCCTGTAATCCTTATTACGCACCTCTGCAGCCTCTTTTGGCCGATAGGCATCAAAAGATTCTCAATAATAACAGATCTATGATTGAAATATTTTATGGATTGATATTGACATGAAATACCAACCGTATAACTCAATAAGTAATAAAGCTGTTTTTTTTGGTAAAATTGCAAGTACAAGCATTAGATGCAAGATACGAGGCCTCATAGCAGAAAAATTAATTGGTCAAGCTTCGAATGTCCTCATTGCTCTAGCCTTACGCTAGTGCCGGTGTAATGCGGACAATAATAATGCAGGATAACAAAGTTAAAGGGGAATAAATTGAGGGTTATGCAGGATATATATTTCGCACCGTGAGTAAAACATTGGTATATCTAATAAACATCAATTATCAGTAGCATACGTAATGACTTCCCATTCAATAGTGTAAATGTGATAAATAACACGTGTGCGTCCTATAACAATAACGTTATCGAATGGAAAATTATGACGTTGATGCTACGTTACTGATAATTGGTGTTTACTGGATGTGTAGTTAATTTGTTAAATTATAATGAATGCACCTATGTTTGTAACAAAATAGTATAATGTTATTTTATATATTGTTCTATTCATAACAATTCGAACTGTGATTAGTAGACTATGTTTATCACATTATGGTAACGAGACAATTTATTTTCCCTAAAAATCATTCGCATTATATTTTAGATTATTTATATTTTAAATTATTTTAGTATTATATTCTAGTATTATATTTTAGATTATTCCAGATTATAAATGAAACATCTATATATTTTAACGTATTTCAGACCTCTTTTAGACATTATCTTCGTGACATCTTTTTCTGCTCTCAAAAAGCTTTTTCTGCCTCCAAGTTATTTCTGCGTTAGTTTTTTAGCTTTTTCTGAATACAAAAATAAAGCAGTATTCTAATGAGATGTTGACCCCAGTGTGTCGTCTTCATCAGACGAAACAGCACCGATGAATAAGCGTGACAAGCGAAATTGACTCGCTATCAAAGGGATCGCTTCAAAAGTCAATTTTTTGGAGGGAAAAGACTGATTTTCTGAAAATCGAGCCGAGATCGCCTATCGCTACTACCGAGCCATGTTCACCGCGTAATCGCGCGCGCGGCCGCTCCTCGGCGACGGCTCGGGCGCCGTTCTTCGGATACCCCGGTGAGCCGAATGCAAATACACTCGCACGAAACGTGCGCACGTGCACGCGCGCGCATATGCACAAACGGCCGATCGATTTTCCGTTCCCGATTCCGCGGTGCCCGCGGCATGCAACGATTGCCGGCGAGCCGAGCACGCGCGCGCACGCACACATATACGCGCACCCGTATGTGTGTTCACACACACGTTCGCACACACTCACATCCACACATGGGGGACTCACGCGGGTTTTCTGTGTCGTTTCTCACGTAGGTCTCTCTCTCTCTCTCTCTCTCTCTCTCTCTTTCTCTCTCTCTCACGTCCGAGCCGTCGAGAACTGCTCTAGCATCGCGATGCGATTGTTCCTAGCTATAGAAACGAGCGACCAATGAGTCGCTCGCCGCGACTCTGCGTCCACGATCGGAGCGCCGGGATCGTTGTTGAGGATAGTGGGTATGTAGCAGTTTCTCACCCTCTAACACTGTCTCGCTTTTCCTCCTTCTTCGCTTGCCCTCTGCGCTCTGGATCCGAAGCGTGAACTGCCGAATCAAGGAGACACCCGGATCGCGCCGACGGGTCGCGAGTACCCGGCACGTGCTTCATCGAGAGCTTGCCCGTTCGCCTGCCGAGCGTGAACTTTGCGGAGAGCGAAAATATTTAGTTATTTTTTGACTTTTTTAACGAGCAGGAGGATCTCTTTTTCTTTCTCTTTTTTTATTGGAACCAGCGCGATGAGTAGGCAGCTGAAACGAGGTGATTTGAGGGTCCTCGTTCGGTCGACGAACGTGAACTTTATACGCGAAGAATATTTTTATTTTTCCCACGGGGAAGAAAATCCCGCTTTTTATATTGGAAAAGACGCGACGTACGACGAACGTGGACTTGGCGAGGGACATTTATGTATTTATTTTCTCAGTGGGGAAGAAGGTCCTTTTTTTCATATTGGAAAAGACGCGATGTACAAGCACCTGGAACGGCCGTAATTCACCAAATTGAGCTGTCGTAAGAGAAAAACTCAATTTCATCCCTCCACCGAATCGAGCGTCTCCTCGTCTCTCGGATCATTCGATCAATCAGTCAGTCAATCCAGTCGGTCAATCGTCCGATCAGTTTGGCTGGATATTCGATGCTTGATGAGCACGCACTGCAACGGAAGCATCTTTAAATCGCGAACGAATTACGTATTAAGAGGTCAAGTGTGAAATGACAGGCAAGCGGAAACATTTAACAGGCCGCTCTTTATATACCATGTACACGTACATATCACGTGTGCAGTTAATCGAACATGAGTTCATGAAAACTGGACTTAATTGCTGCCGGCGAAATCCGGGATTGCTTCAATCGAGAGCGCTATAACTCTATCTCTCTGTCTCTCTTTCTTTCTCCCTTTCCGCCTCCCCTTATGCTCATCGCACTCACGCACCCCTCGTCGCAGCCTTCCCTCCTTCTTTCGTAACGGCACGCTGGTTTTTCCAAAATATTCACTACATCACGTATATGTATGTGTGTGTGTGTGTGTGTGTACACGTATATCTTGTATTCACGCATGATATTGTTTGTTGACTACGTAAGCCCGACAAAACATTCACTGTGTGTACGTAGCTGTAACAAACAAGTATCGGATTAATGTTTCGTGATAGATCGACAGACGAGGGCCCGGAGCTTAAAGACTGAAATAGCGTTATTAAGTCTAGGATGCATTATGGGGCAGCAGCCTCGGCGATCGTGCAACGCGATCTTCGTCGCTACGTTCGGCGAAGACGCAAGGTCCTGTCGAATGTCAGAGTTTATCGCTGGAATTCTGAGCTAGAGAGAGTCCGAAAAGTCGAAATTTCTCTTCTATCGTTTTAGATCCCGACACTTCGACGCTTCACAAATCGACAACATCTACCTTGACGATACTTCGACACACGGTCGGAACAATCTCCCTAGACTCCATTTGACCTTAGAGCTGCTACTCGAAATAGCAAAATTCCGCTTAAGCTCGAATCCTCATCTCTTAAAAGTTTTTTGAATCACTAATTAAGAAATTGTTCGTTTACGTACTTGGGCGAGAGGCAAAGCGGCCGCCCGACCCGGCTCTCGTATAAATTCACGCAACTTATTTGTAATCCTTCGCAAGCCGCAAACGCTGCAAAGTTCCGGTAAGACGCAAGAAAGTACAAGCAAAATTTCGAGCTGGAAACCCATGCATGCGCGCGTGTCTTTCTTTCCAGTTAACAATATACCGTGATTAATAGTCCTCTTTCTGTCGGAGGAAGGGGGCGCTTTTTCGGAGCGGGCGTCTGGAGTTGGCGATACTAAAAATCCGATCGACAAGTAAACAGCGATTTTTCGTATTTTCCTCGCGAAAACGCCAAGTTTCAACGCGAATTCCCCGCGTATATTCTCTGGCGATCTAACCGCGTAGCTGCTACTCTGCGTTTTCACTCCGCCATTAGGCCGGGTGTACACACGAGGGTTTAACTCTAGGGAGAATAGTTTCCTCGGAATAAAACTCCGCTAACGCTGCGCGTCCACGCGGCGAGTTCCACGTCGGAGAACAAAATCCTCCCGCGAGACATTCCGTTAATCACACACACACACACAGTCATGGGGAAAATATCCAACTTTTTTGAGGGCTTGACTCCATTAAAAATTTCGTAACAGTTGGAACGGGGACTCATTATCATATCCCGACATGACTATTCGGCTGTGACGCATAAGTCGTCATGTTCGGTTATGATGGAGTAAGATAACGACAACACATAATAACAGATGTTATACTTGTCGATCGTTAACTCGCTGCAATAATTATGTCGCGACAAATAATTGGAGAGTAGATTATATATACGTTGTATATACAATTATATTATAACGAAAAATAATATTACAGTAATTACAACAAAACAAAATAGGTAACTACTGATGCGGCATCGCGATGGAACTCGATGCGGTCGGAAAATACCGTCCACCGAGCACGTAGCATTACCGTAACCGTAACCGTTATCGCTGAAGAAATATTACAATTTCGGATTTAGAATATCACGAACGGGGAAGGGGGGAGGGGGCGGACGGTACTCTCAACGTCGAGTATCAAAACCGATCTCCGATCCGGGATATTCGCTACAACTCGCAGGCCAATCGGAATGGATTCCTATCGATTCCTTTCGATTCGGCTGCTCCTTTTTTCTCCTTTTCTTTTTTACTCCATTTTTTCCCGGCGGCCTGTTGCCGACAGGTACTCGTGGAATATCAGGCGTTCGTGAATTTTCAAGTAACTCGGCGGCCGATATGTGTCGGCCCTATCGCAACGGTGCATTCACCCGCCTCTCTTCCCCCCCCACCCTAGAGGCGGGGGAGATTCTCTCAGACGAATCGTACGTCTCTAATCTCGTCGATCTAACATCCGTGCGCGCCTTCGCGAAAAGGCCGGCTCTCGACGGCGCGCTGTGCCTTTTCTCTCTCCTCTTATTTTTCTCACGGAGCAATCCGTATTTTAGAATCGAGCGAGATAAATGGTCACACCGCGCACACAACGCTCGCGTCCTCCTCCACCCCCTTCACATCCCTAGCTGTCGCTCGTTTTTCTCCCTCTCGGTCGCCGACTATGGAATAGCCACGACGCGGAAAATCGCGGAAATTCACGTTCAACTCGCCACGCGAGCGATCAATGTTAATAACAATTTTATTACACGCAATAATGGGCGCACTCGTAAAGTCTCCAGCCCCCCCCTCCCCCGTTCCCGTTCCCCGATAAGACGCGAGCTACCCCGTCGAGAGAACGTCGCATCTCCAGGCTGACCCCGACCTGCTTCGAAATGACGCTGACACCCCCGCATCCAGTCTGCGTCGGCTTTGCATTTCTTCACGGGGCCAGAACATCGTTAGAAGCGTGTCACGTCGAACGACGACGAGAGGACGGCGTCGGGGAGAAAGGGAGAGAAAGAGAGAGGAGGAGATCAGGGTTCGCTTTGTACTGCGATAACTCGCTAAAAATACGCGACGGTCGGATAGGACCGTCGCGCGGATGGACGTCGCTCGGGGTTGCGCTGCAGGCTGGGGCGGCGTCGCCGCGCTCTATCGCGCCGCTAAAGCGGAGACGCGGCGGCGTGCGTCAGGCATTGTCAATAACGCGACAAGACGAGACGGACGGCCAGCGACAATGCGTTACAACGTGCACGCGCGCGGAAACGTTCCATCTGCTGACTATTCTCTCGCTCTCACGCTCGCTCGGATCGCGGAAATCGGCTCTGTGCCGCGGGAGGGGGAGGGGGGAGTATCCGAGGGATGAATATTTAGTCGGTAGGTCCCGATTGATCTGAATCTGCATTCGCTCGATCAGACGGAGCGAACAATTGCTCTCGTGGAAGATTATACGGCGAAAGTACATTCGAGCGAATGTACATTTTCTCATCGGGGAAGAATGCTCCTCTCGGTGGAAGCGTACTTGCGCCGCCGGTGTATGCGAAGTATGTTACATTGGTAGCGAAAACGAATAACGATGTTCCCGTGTAGAAAAATGAATAGGGCTCTGGTAAGGGTCTGATTATTTTTCCCTAACATTAATCGGACCCTAGACAGACCCTCGGGATGGAAAGACAAGATGTGTAACATAAATGGTTTAACGGGGTTTTATAAGGCAATATTGTGAGGACCTTATAAGACAACAGAGCCTTATAAGGCAATATTAATGGGGGCTTAGAAGGGAATATTTTTATTATTTCTTTATAACCTTGTTAGATACAGAACAAGAATTTGTTACTTTAAAAATATAGCATACTTTACAATAAAATATAACGTTCTCTACATATAAAAATCCTGCTACTGTTTTTATTAAAGTTTGTTGCATTTCAAAACGAAGGCAATACCAGAAAAATCCTTGGAACAGATCAATGAATATGGCAACTAATAAAACTAATAAAATTTGTTTTTAATTGCGGTATAATTAAAAAATCTTTAAAAGAACCAGATAGAGAGCGTACCTACTAAAATAATATTAAACTATAACAATTTTATTACACGCTTCAGATCTTATTAATTTTCTATGACAAAACTTGATTTTGTATATCTAAAACATCCTTAAAAGGCCTTCTAAGGCCTTTTCCAGCTTTCTCTATCAAAACCTTATTTATTAAATCTAATCCCTAATAAATCCTTCTAAGGTCCTCATCAGTTTTCCTTATCAAATCCTCATTTCGTAAAATCTAAGTTTTCCTCAAAAAGGCCATCTCAGGGCCTGGTAATAATGAGATGTGGTAATAACGAGGTATCCCTTTTTAGGGTATCCTACTTTCAGCCTTATCGGGGCCTTACGCTTCATGAGAATGGCCCTAACAATTTTTTGCTCGGGGATATTCTTGTTGTTTGACGCGACCACGATTCTGATCGACTAGGAAACCAGACGAATCGCGATCAATCTCGAGTCAAGTTTCGGCTCGGCTATGTCGGTCGCGATTATCCGCGCGTTTCGT